GGCAAGAAAGTAAACACTTCCAGGGCTGAGAATCTCATTACTCATAAAACATTTATTTCCTGTCATTTTATTTTATTTTTTGCAACGATGTACCAATGTGTCCCCGTAACTTCTACCTCCCAGTCTTTGTTCTGTGTTTGGATAGGAAACCTCGAAGAAGAGACTATCTGACCCCGAGCCAGAGAGAATTTCTGGGCATGTGGGGTGCCTGACCTGCAGTGAATGAGAAGGCTCACATTTTGGCCAAACTGTGTAAAGGGGAATGACTTAGTGGACAGTTTGTCTGTAATCTTTAATAGTGAAAGGCTAACACTTCAGGCTTTTACTTAAAAAAAAGAAAGAAAAGGAACTCTGAGGATAGTTCCAGTGAGAGCCCCCAGAGGATCGGGTTAATTAACCAATCAGGGAGGGAGCTGCTTCCACAGGCCTGGTGGTAAGAATGACTCCACAGTGGCTAATTTCATCGCAACTTGCTCTCACTGTAGAGTCATGAAAGCTCAAATGTTCAAGGACAGTAACGAGGAGAGAAAAAAAGTTTCCATCCCTTGGAATGAAACCAGAATGAGATGCAGAGGCAGCTGTCCTCAGTCTGAAGTTGGTTAATTTTAACAGTCAGTTTCTTCCCAGCCAGTTCCCTATTGTTCTGAAGTGTTCTCCCTCTTGGACCGTGACCCTGTCTACTTTTGATGACAACCACTTAATCAGCACATCACATTGTCGCACGGCTGGTTTTACCTTGGGTAAAGATTCATTTTCTTTATTATTAACATCACAAGAACTGATTTCTCTCCCCAATCAATTAAAGAAGAAGGATAGAAGGGCCCAGAGCAATCGAGGGAAAAGAAAACTATTCTGACTTACGGCACCTGCTCAGGCCACTCTGCCCCACGTGGCTTTAGGCATCAAATCACCGGGGCTCTGAAATGTGACTATGCAGGACTACACAGGTAAAAGACACAAGCAGGGCTACCATGCCCATGACCCCAACACCAAACAATTCATCCAGGTTTGGAAAGAGCCAGCATTGGCAAACTCAGTCTGTGGGTGTGTCTGTTTGTCCTACCAGAGCGCAGTCTGGATAACTCACGTTCCGCAGATAATTCCAACACTGCAACATTAATATTCAGCTTCCCTCCTTGTATCCCATGGTGATAGTGAATGTTGGCTTCTCCTTGTATTTTGCCCAATTATTCTGCTGGAAAAACGTGCTAACATCTATGTCATCTCTTTGTAATATAAGAGGCACTTATCTGAGTTTACTATAGTTCACAGTGATTTTGACCTAATAAAAATGCTATAGTTCCTTCATGCTCTGGTGGTATGACCACTGGATGGCTGTCTTATGTTAAATCTTCAATACATAAGGAGGGGTGGCAAGTGATAAGGAGGTGGTGAGTGATGGGAATAACTCCTTTTAAGATCATTTAATAAAAATAAGCCTCTTCTTACCAAATAATGTGCCTTCTAATTTATACCTAAGAGTTAACTGTACCTTATCAAAAAAATGCTAATATATTCCAAAGATGTACATGAATTGTGGTTGGTTTGCCTTCAAAGTATATTTCTTATCTATGCAATTCTGTAGCTTTCAGCCACACCTTATATTTAATTTGTTAGAAAGAGGTAACATAAGAATTACTGGTTGACAGAATCCAGTCTGTTGATAAATTAGCTTTAACAGTTTACATTGCAATATTATGCATTCTATTTAAATCCATAGCAATATGTACTAAATTTCCAAATATAAATAATTTGGCTGCATTTCAGAAATGCATTTGACCCGACCTGGATAGATCCTGGGGCTTCTACTTCACTGAGTTTTAATGGTCTGTGGTTTAATTCTCAGCCTTTTCTTCCCTACCTCTCATCTTGCTCTCTTCAGTTTAACAAATGCAATCGACAGGTGCTGATGTGAATTATTCTACTGACTGTTTGCAGTGACCTCAAGAAAACCACCTCACTGTGACCTTTTGAAGACAGGCCACAAACAACCTAAATACCCATCCTTAATGACCCAGTGTTCTGCTTTACTTCAAACTTTCCAGTGTGTTGTTTACTGACTGGGTGCCATTTCAATCTTATTTCTTTTCTATTTTCAAAATACAGCATTTGAGGCTCTGCTTGGAAAGGTCCTAAGAGCCTCTCTTTCCTCTCTGACTGGCAGTATCCCCAAGGAGGAGGACTGATTCTGAGCTTGTAAATCGTGGCATTTACTTTAAATGAAATGACAGGAGTGTCTGTTCCAACTATAAGACTAAGACTTTGCGAAACAGCTCTGGGGGCCAGAGGTTGAAAAGCATGAGATGCAATTATGCATGTATGAACATCTCTCTACTTTTCCAATAGAAAATCTCAGCAACCAAGGGATGTTTGGCTTTTTGTCTTTTCTTTTCGCTTTTTAAAGAAAACTCCAGTGAACAAAATTGCGGGGATATAGCACATGTCCTACTAGTAAAACCACACAGAGCTCTAATTTCTCAAAAGGAAAGTTTTTGGCATTCAAAACCTTTACAAGTACATAGCACAGACTCTGAAATCACAGAACATCAAAATTCTGAACAGGAGACTTTCCTGCACTAGCAAGCACCCTCTTTATTTGGGGAGCTTTATGTGGCACTTAAATTCACACTTCCTCAGTGTCCCTCAAGGACTCGTGATGTCAGCTCACAGAGCTATGGTACTTGAGCCAAATGCTTCAAGTGGCAGAAACACATTTTTCCAACTCATCTCAGCCAAAGGGCCAGCTTGACCAAAGCACCTGTGTTCTCTTGCTGGCCACATCCGCACCGTTCTCTACGGAGACCAAAGCTGTCGACAACTCATTTGCTGGCTTCTCGCCACTCCCAGTCTGTTGTATCTGCGTCTCCCCCTTTCTTTTGGCCCCTGGTAGCCTTCAAATCATAACTGATGTCTTTTCCTAATGGAAACAGCAACATCCCTCCCCTTTCCCTCTCTTTCCATCAAGACTTGGGCAACTCTCTCATTCAGGGCTTTTTTTCCCCCTGTAAAAGGCCAGATACCAATCAGCATTGTGGCCCATGGAGTCTCTGTCCCTATTGCTCAACACTAAGATGTGGAGCGGGAGCTGACAAGATGTCACAAGTAGGTGTGGCTGCCTTTAACCAGTCTTTGTTTAGAACACTGAAATTTGGATTTCCTACAATTGTCACATGTCAGGAAGTATTTTTTGTTCTGTCAGCCCTTAAAAAAATGTAAAAACAATTCTTAGATTATAAGCCATAGAAAAGCAGGCTGCAGGCCAGAATTGGCTCCCTACTGTCGTTGGCTAACTCCTGCTCTTCTCTGTCTGAACTGCCTTCTTGTGAGCTATCTCCGGAATAAAGACAAGTCATAGGTAGGCGTGAGCCAGTGGCCTTCAGTGTGGGCAAATGAACCCTGTCCCCCTATCTCTCAGATGTCAGAAGAGGAGAACAAAGGGAGGGGATAAGAAAGTAGGACTATCCACCTTAAAGTTACTGATCATCAAGAGCTTTAGGAGGGAGAGGGGATATGGGCTGTGGAGATGAAGGAGTAGGGAAAAGTCTTTATTTAAATTACGTTGGGCATGCAAAAGTACATCAAGAGGAATGACCCTGAAGAGTGGAAGCTAAGGTAAGAACTGTCCTGGTCTTGGGCTGGGCAACCCCTGCCCTGAAACTCTTATGAATTATTCCTTAGCCTTTGTGGGGAACTGAAGATGAGAATGGCTGCAGGGGAAGCAGGACCTGGAACATCACTGAGAGATTGCAAAAACAATTCACTGCCAACAGACTGTCCCAGCAGGGTCCCAGTGCTATGGTTGTGGCCCTGATTGGCACGCTGCCCCTCGGATACCCAATTAGACAGAACTAGGGAAATTGAATGCAGAGTTGGTCCATTTTATCTCTGCTTAACCACCCGAATGAACAGCATGGGAAACTGAGTCTGATCTCATCAGTCAGCCCTGGGCAAGCTCTTTAGCCTGTCTTTTTAGATGGCCAAGCAATGGCTGAAGTTTTGGGGCTAGGACAGAGAGAAAGGTCCCAAAATCATTGGCTGGTAGCAGAAGTAACTTCAAGGAGTAAACAGTAGTTTGTTGGAAAGTCCCCTGAGTGTTTCCACGAAGCCAAGGAATTAGCTAGCTTGGCACGAAGTGGATCCCAGGACTGACCTAATTAAACAACAAAAGCAAAAACTGGAAGGAAAATGATGCTCAAGTTGACAACTTTGTAATCCCAACTGTTAAGAGAATGTGGAAAGCCAAAAACCCTTGGCTTCCAACTCCTCTATCCAAGGGTATGTCCGAAATGGTATTGTTCTCCTTTAAACCTCAATAATGGCAAAGGGCCAAACAAATCAAAAAAGAAAAACTTTTCAGAACCATTCTTTTTTAACAAAGAAAGTGACCTTTAAAGACTATTCCTGGCCGAGAAAATTATATAAGGAGGTGGCTGAGTGGAGAATGAGATGGAACCAGAGTAGACGTCAACTGGTGGCAGCGATGAAGAGGAGGATCAGGAATCCAATGATGGATTGCAGGAAGCTGCTCAGATAGGTGACAGTGGTACTTGGTTACCTAGAGATCCTGGGGAAGTCCTGCCTGCATCTAACCTGGTCTGCACTAAGTGATTTCATGTTGTGAGCAAGCAGGGACCTGGGGATCCAGCCATTTGGGAGAGCATTTGAACAGGGAAGACTTGCAGATCTCAGTGAGCCCGGGTGCCCAAACGTCCAGGCACTGATAATTTCCCATGCATGTGCATTTTCCCCTCCCGAGATCAGTAGTTTGGATTTTTTTTTTTTTAATCTTGTCTGGTCCCTTTCCTCCAAACCCAGCATCCTGGAAAGAAGGGAAAGGCTTTTCCAATGAGGGACCTTGCTTTTCCCTTTCCCTATCCCCGTGGAGATTTGGAGAGGCAGCAGGAATGTTGGAGAGCACTTGTGTCCCTGAAGGAACAGCCAGTTGCAATGCACGACCATCACTATAGATCTACGATTTATGAAAATAAAGCAATATGTGCCTGTTTCGGTGCCTGCCGTTTGCCTACCAATGGTGCAGTGTTCACCATTCCAGCCCTCTCGGCATTCACATTTGCCATCTTTACAGGTCCCGTGCTCAATGCAGCGGGGGTGGCACACGCGCTGGTCACAAGCTGCGCCTGTCCAGCCCTCTTCACAGCGGCAGGCTCCCCCGATGCAGACGCCGTGAGTGCCACAGTCTACTGAGCACACTTCTGGAAGAAAAACAATGATTACAGCTCAACACGGCAGCTGGTAAAACCCTTCACGGAAGCCAGACCATACACATGGCCCGGGCCCCGGGAGCAGGTCCGAGGCCCAGCAGCTATGACATCTTCGGAGGCTTGCCTCTTTGCCGGCTCAGTAGTAATCCATCATCATTATTTATTCCTTTTTCTAGAGCAGTTTTTCTCAAAGTGTGGCCCGTGGGCCAGGAGCATCACTCTCACCTAGGTACTTGTAAGAAATGCAAATTCACGTGCCCTGGTTGGACCATGTGATTTTGAAACTCTGCAAGCGGGGTCACAAATTCATTTTACCAAGTCCTCTGGGTAGTTCTGATACTAGAATGTGACAACCACTTGTCTACAGAGAGAGACTGACCTGACGGGAGGTCAGGCAGTGGGCCCAGCTCAGCAAAGCTGACTGGGAGAGACCCATCTGAAAAGAGGATCCTGACTCCCTCTCTAGCTGGGATTCTTCCCCCTTGACAGCCTGAACTGACCAAGCCTTCGAGGCTCACTGGGGGTCCCCGGCTCCATCCCCACAATGACTGCAGACCCACACGTTCCCCAGATCAGCCTTTGGCGGCAATGAGGGCCGCTGTTAATTGTGCTGCATTTACACAGCCTCTTTCTCAAAGGAGCTCAAAGTCTTTTGTGGTCGGGGAGGAGACAGACAGACAGATATGCACTCTCTGGACCTCTCACTCGAGGACAAGCACGTGCCAGACATTCATCCTTACAACAGTCTACGGAGGGAGGCGTGGCTCGTCATGCCAGGGGAGAGAACACCAGGCCAGGGGTGGCCAGTGACTGACTCGAAGTCACACAGCACATCTGCAGCACAACTGGGCCTTGGACCTAGAACTCTCCACCTCCCCCATCCTCTGCAGAGCTTTGCCAGGATCCTCACCATCAAAGAAGAATCCAGAGTCAAGTGGGCGGAGAAGATATCCCCAAATAGCCCACTTTATCTGACTCTCCTTTTTTTCTTCTTTTTGGAATGAAATATTCATTTCTTTCCCATTGTAGGCAAAGTTTCATACCTATTCCCTTCCTGATTGCCACGGCAATCTCACAGCTGTCTCCCTACTTGGAGGAGGGGGCTGCATGATGATCACTTGGTTGGACAGGCGCTCGTCAGTGCAAATGAACCCTTTCTTGGGAAGGTTGGGACCCACTTGAACTGCTGAACTGCTCCATTTTTAAGGTCAATTGGGAGGTAAGATACACACTCTTAATTTTAGGAAAATAAAGTGTAGAGCACAACTTCATTATTTCCCTGTCACTGGAGGATTGCAGAGCTTTATAACATGTTCACACAGCACCCCGAGGGAGCCTCTTTTCTGTTTTATTGGACATGCTACTTGGTTTGTCTGGGACTGAATTGTTCTGTTTTGCTTTCTGGTACCTTTAGGGAGTGTACGTAAGCAAACCTGTAAAGCAAATAAAGCATCCCTCTTGGGCCCCTCATCCATTTGTGGTGATGGATTCAACAAGGCACAAGTACCAACTTGGTGTTATATTTGTTTGTTTCATTTCTCAAAGATCACAGACTCTATAGCCAAGGAGAAGACAGTGAGAAAGGCACTATGTGACGGACCAAAGACCCCTTATCCCACACGAGTGTGAAGAGGAGATTCCCATCCATCTGGGAATGGGAGGAATGCAGAGTATGAGGTTAGGAAAAGTGAGAGAAACTCTCTTGGCTTACCAACGGAGCAGTCGGGACCCATCCAGTTGGGGTCGCAGCTGCAGAGGCCCGTGTCTGGCAGGTAAGTTCCATGCCCACTGCACTGGTCTGGGCACTGGACCCTCGCCAGTTCACAGTTAAGACCACCCCAGCCAGGGGTGCAAAGGCATTCTCCATTCACACAGACCCCATGGCTGGAGCAGGTGGGATCCAAGCAATCCACTGAAAAGAGACAGAGATGAAAAGTATTGATCAGTCATGGGGGGGATGGACATGAGGCACAAGCCTTCCACTGAATGGGCCAGTGGTTCACCAATTCCTATCCACTGCAAGCAAATGAGCAGGCCAGGTAATAACTTCCGTGGTCTCCTTGAAGAACACTAATGAAGATAACAGTTTCTTTTTTTTTTTGTATGTCAAAACACCAAATTTCAAACTGGAAGAGAACCAAGAGAACAAATAGGATTTCTCAAGCAGAATTAGGAAGAATCAGATGCAGGTTCTATATACATAGAGAGGGTGTGTTATTCAACCTTTGTTATTCAACCTGTACTTACCAACCTTCATACTTTGATGGCCCCATGTTAAGAATGTAAATACCTGGGCCGGGGATTTAGCTCAGTGGTTCCGCTGCCTGCTTCGCAGGCGCAAGGACCCGAGTTCAATCCCCGGTGCCAAAAAAAAAAAAAAAAAGAATGTAAATACCTGTGATATTTCTGCATGTGTCATCAAACTCTATCCCTCATGCTAAGGGGGGAAAAGTAGCGAGGCTCATTCAACTTCATTAATCACTGTCTTTGAAAGGAAACAAAAAATTATAAAGAAAGTCCATGACACCCATAAATGGGTAATTTTTCTAAGTTTCACGTAAGCTAAGTTTAAAATTGGTTTTCATGCTCTGAACACACCCCCTGAAGGGATTAGTGAATCTGCAGGATGGACGAGGTGAAACTGGGTGTGGAACTGATCTAAAAGAGGAACCTTCCCATGGTCACAAGGTGGTTACAAGTGACAGTATCTTTGGTCACGGCACCAGCCCTCCACCAGTCAACTGGCTAACTTAATGGTCAGATTCTGGTTATTGTCATCCTTGCCTGTTTTATGGTCTGATTCTTCGGCTGTCTTTATGATCAGAGAGGAAATGCATCCGCATCCAGTAGGTTGTGTGAGGATGATTACTCAAGAATCAACTCAAAAAGATGAGAGGAGAGAGCTGCAAAAGCCAGGTCTCCAGGACAGGACTTCTTTGCATGACCATGTGAGCTCAACACTGGATCTCTATCCAGGCTAAACAAATAGGGCCTTTTACAAGCAGACCAGTTTCCCTTAGCGTTACTAGAAAACGGTGCAATGGCGTGGGGAGAAGAGGGCTCTGCATAATCTGGGATTTGAATGAGGAAGAATGGAGTTTTGCAGAGGGCTTCAACATTGTCTTGTGATGTTGTGACGAAATGTAGAAATCTCATCACCTTATTTGACGATGACTTACATTTCTGTCATTTAATAGCTTCACATTTCTTATATCACCTGGGGGGCTAGCCAGCCAGATAGTACTTGAAGTTCTTTTCTTGAGGTTTTTTGACCACACTGACACTATAATTCAATCCTCTGTGTGCATGCATGCATGCCACCTTTGGTTCAAAGCCTCAGAGAAGATTTTGTTTTCTTTCCTTGTCTAATGTCAACATTGAAATATGGAAGACTTTTAGTCTCTAAATAATTCACCATTATGGTGAGATGGTAGCCATTTGAGGTCCTAGTTATCTTTAGGGTCTACTGCTACACTGCCCATGTTGGACGTCTTCTTTTCTTATTTTTCACAAAATAATGGTGTTTTTAAATACTGATAATACATCAACTAATAACACATCATGCCACACATTGTCTAGTCCTGGGAGACATGAGACTTGAGGAGTTTGGATTTATTAGAAATCACAATATTCCATGAAGCTTCCAAAGAACACCCCTCGCTTTAGGTAAAAATAATAATTTTCAGTATTTAGAGCTGTTTCTCAGGATCCCATCTGGATATTCCCAAGAAGATATTATTTATGGAAGTCACTTCCAAACTGTAGTCATGGAGAAAAACAGTGATTCTTTTCTACCAGAAAGGTGAATTTCAGTGACTTATTATTAGTTGAAGATATTTATGATGATGTTACTTAATCTTGTTACAATCACTTTAGAGTTGAATTCACTGTCTTGGGGAATATAACTCCTGATGATATAAACCCTTCTGATGCCTTCCAATTTGCTCTTGTGAGGATGGTGGAACACAGCTGCATGTAAATTTGAAGTGAAAGGTTTAAACACATAGAAGGTATGTGACAAAGGAGCTGTGTGGTGCCTTTGGTGTTTCCTGCCTAAGGCAGTTAAAGGAATATAGTATGTGTTCAATATACAACTGCTATTAAGAAGAATGACAGACTTTGCTATAAGTAAAGCTAATGACAAATTATCCGGATAAATTTCCAGTATGAAGGACTGATTAGAAAAAGAAATAGTGCTACTACTTGGTTTTTGAAATAATTCTGCAAAATTTTAGCTAATTCATTCAGAACCCATCACGTTCACATTCTTCTAATAAAGGAAATCCTGAAGTTCTAGTTTGCATTTTACTTTGTTCCCATTTCTAATTAAGCAAAATCAAAATATACACAAAAATCCTGTGTGTTACTGCCTCGAAATTTGCTCCAAAGCTATAATTAGCCACTTAAAATGTTTAGTGAGTTGCCAACAGCTAGAAGCTTTCAAAAATATATCATAATCTTTTTCTTACAAGGATGAAATAATAAAAATACCAGAGAGGGAGGGAGGAAGGGAAGGAGGGAGAGAGAAAGTGAGAGACAAGAGAGTGAGGGAGAGGGTGAGGGAGAAAGACAGAAAGAGAGGGAGAGATAGGCATTTTTCTTCCAGATAAATTAGCTCTCTCTTCTCTACCCTGAATTATGGTATGAAGGAAGGAGAAGAATCTGCAGAGATTTATTAGCCCAGTACTAGAACGTCATCAAAAGAACCATTTATAGTATCTAGAAATATGAGCTAACCCTTTCTCTGGCCAGTGATACCAGTAAATATGCCCTTAGTGCTATATAATTACAGAAGCTGATGGAATAACTAAATTCTAACTTCAATAGGAGTGGTTTCACTATGAATTTTAAATTTGGTTCCAATTTCATAAAGCGATTTTGCAGCCACATCTGTAGGGTCTTTAGCAGGCAGAAGAGACCGTGGCATTTTACAAAGCTTTATAAATAGAAACAGTGTTATACTTAAAAGGGGGACAGTGGCCTTAACCAGCTCAGTGTCCTGTGCCTTGAACACCAGCCCCCTAGCAGCTGAAATCATTAGAACTCATTTAGTCTTGGGTCCTCTGTAGGTTTGACAAAAGAAGGTTGTGAATGCAATTTCTATCCCTAAGGATAAAAAAGGAGGTCAAGGAGTTTTACAAACAATATGTACTATAAACCCCTGAAGAACCATGAATTACATTTATGAAGTTAAATGTCAGTGAAAAATGACTCAACCATGAAACTGACATGAAAACATGGCTGACTTAAACTAATATGTCACTTCCTCTCTTATCACCATCCCACTCCCCAGCCATCATTGAACAAGACCTCGCAAACATGTCCTTTCATTTTCTGGGGCAAATTTGTTAATAGTACAACAATGTTTATGCAGCAAAAATGCAGGATGGCAACTATTGATTTCATTGCCATGGCCACTTCAGGTAAATTGTTTGAATGTTATGACTATGATGAATATCAGAAATAAAAAAGCTAAATGGAAGAAAAAGTGCTGATGCAGACTTGCTTATTCCATTTTCTATTTTGAAAACAGCATATGAATCACCTTGGTTCATTCTTTTTTGGGTGGCAGAAATCAATAGGGGAGATTTCATCATTTGGTAATGTTCCACGTGGCTTCCTTGTTTTGTTGGATGGTTAGTTTATTCCAGGCATTTAATAAGACTAGCTGGGACAGTAGAGAAGTTGAGGAACCGCTTGAAGGTCCACTCATGCATATGTGCCCAATCTTCCTTGTACACAATTCTAAGACTGGCAGTGTTACTGCTCTGGCACTTTCTTCTCACTCAGGGATTTATGCAGAAGGGTGTCCTAACCTTTCTTGTCACACTACTGGCCTCTCCCGTGTTTTCAACAGATGCAGCCTTACCTCCTGCAATCCATTTATCTTTAAGAACTTTAACCTTTCGAGAAGGGTTATTAAATCCGTATTTCCTTTACCTGAACTCCCCAACTTGGTTTGATGATACAAACATAGGGAGGCTAACTTTTATAGTGAGAGGAGGAAATATATAGAGAATTAAGTAAGGGAAGATCCGGGGGTCAGACTTCTGAACCCTGTTAAGGGCATTGCTACCGATACACTAAAAAAATCTTAGAAGAATAATGTCATGGAAGCTGACTCTTTATAGCCGTAGTTGTAAAACTATGAGACATAGGATTTTGTAAGAGAAGGCTATGTGCATATATCTAAAGATGAGGCCCTGTCTTTACTTTGCAGTGAGTGCTGTAATGATTGGTTATTTTGTAGAGAATTCTGGTCATCTATAAGTCAGTGGAATGAAAGAATGGCTCCGTTAGCATCTGAGAATCCCACAAAACCTGAGATCCCTCAGTACTGTGAGAAGTTTATTCATGAGAAGCTAAGAGAGAACAGGGTGTATCAAGTCAAACAGGATCTTTTCCATGGAAGCATCCACACAGAGAGGCAGGAGGCTCCATATTGCCTTTAGTTTGCTGGGTGAACTGATCCTTTATTCACTCTGGGATCATAGGATGGAAAAGAGTTGTTTGAGCACACAGGAACATTTCTCTGGGAGACAGTCTTAGAGTAGAGGAGCTCAGCTGGATGACAATGATGGAACCAATGCCAAGGTTGGGGAATGGGTGAGGGGCTGAGGGGCCCTAGATTGTCAGTGTGTGAATCTGTGGTGGGTTCCGTATATGGTGAGAAGCATCAGCTGGACAACTAGAGACTGTATTCTGGACGGGCAAATACAGAGATGAAAGGATACAGGCCGCTGAGTTCCCTTGCCTTATTGACACCAGAACTTGGTCCTAACACCTTGGTGTCAAGTAACTCTCCTGGAAGAACCAAGCAGAGTAACTAGGACTAGTTAGAGCTGATTTCTAAACACCACCTTGTTTACACACTTCCTCCCCCAGATCCTTTCTCCCGATTTCCAAGCCTGATCGTGGACTACGCTTGGTCAGATTAGCTTCAGTGTCTAACATGCCCGATTTATTCCAATGCGTGCTGGAGGCCCTTAAATGTGTGCAATCATGGGCTCTTAGGAATTCATCATATCCTAGCCCTCTTGCTGCACATCCACTCTCTTCTAATTCTGTGTGCTTGTAGTAACCAGAGTAATTTGCCCCGCATGGTGTCTCTGAATGACCTGGATACCCACAGTCTTTCAAGACTGGCTGCTCTCTATTGATACTAATTTTTATGGAAACATTTACCCAAATGTACATGGGTCTTAGATTGCCAAGAAGCATAAAAACAAACAAACAAAACGGTAACCACCACCACCACTCCCAAACCAGCAAAAAACAGCTTTGAGGAAGACAAGGAGCTTAGAGATTCTTATTTCTTTGGATAGGTTTAGTAATTCCCAATCCAGAAGAATTTAAGTCAAGTAGAAGAAAAGAAGGAAGAAGACAGGGGGATGAGAAGGAAGGAGATAGAAAGGAAAAAGGAAGGAGAAGGAAGGAGAGGAGGAAGATTAGCATAGAGAAAGAGAACCCTGAAACATAAAAAGGCAGAGGGAGAAAAGAGGAAGGGAAAAAAGAGCAAGAAGGGTAAAACAAAGCATTCCTTCCAGAATTGTGTCCATAAACCTTTTCAGTTCTACAGCTAAAGAAGTCTACCAAAGCCAAGTGTTTGAAGTTGTCTGTACAACATGTTGAAGCTTTCTTTGTGAAGCAGGGAGTCTGGGGGTGGACTCTTTAGCCAAACTCAGGCCCTCCCTGGTCCCCACCGCCGTCCTGTGCCTCTGGGACACTCACCTTCCTCACAGTGCTCCCCTTTGTAGCCTGCAGAGCACACACAGTTCCCATCAATGCAGGAGCCATGGCCCCCACAGGAGGGGTCGATGCACTGATTCACAGGAACATCGCATTCGGCGCCTTTCCAGCCGCTGTAGCACTGGCACGTTCCTTTGGAATATTGTCCATTCCCACTGCACAGGACAGGGCAGGCAGCTGCAAAACCAAAGACAAAAGACCAGGTCATGAGGCCATCATCTGAAGGGCTCTGTCAGTTGCTCTGTCTGGCATTCTGGCTTCACTTCTCCTCTTATAGGCTGGGGACCTTGGCTATGGAGGTGTAGAGCCATTTTCAAGTAAGAATGCCACTAGTAACAGCAGGTACCACCCATGAAATGTTTAGCATGTGCTAGGCTCAATAGAGAGTCCTTATGTGCAACCCATGGCTTCATCATTATGATCACCCGAAGAGGTGGGGGCTACATTCAGGATCCCCATTTTGCAGATGAAACTCAGACTGGTGAAGTTACTTGTTCACTGTCACAAAGCACGTAAACACAGGATCCCACCTGGAATCCAGGTTGGCCCAGCTCTATGCTGTGCCCTTAACAAAACTACACTGACTTCCTTGTTGGTGTTGTTATTCTTACTGTTGTTGGTTCTGGGGAGCAGAATCCACTGCTGAGTATTTCATCAAATTTGTCAGAATTAGTGGACTCCTATTCTGATAAGCTGATGTCAGTAGAAAAAGAAGGGGAATGGGACACAATGGTGGTTAATGACTCTCTCTCTGCCTCAGTTCCTTACCTATGCCATGAAGACACAAGTGTGCCTACTTCAAAGAGTGATGTCTACTAAGCATTAAATAAGCCTGACATTTTAAAAAAAGGAAAGGTCAGGGTAGGGTTAAGATAGGAAATCTTGAGCACCTCATATCTTACCTGAGATCCTCTTGTATCCCATGGTTTGATGGGAAGAAGGTTGAAAAATCAGTAAGGATTGTCTGGGATGAGATTACAGACAGTTTTCAGCAGTTTGTGTCAACTGTGCCAATCTCCCCTTTTAGAGCTTATCAAGAATGGGATTTTAGTGGTCTCCTTCAGGCTTTGGACTTCTCAATTCAGTATCAGTTTGTAAAGAAGCTACATTCCCAATCTGCCTTCTAACTTGGGCCTGAAATGGGTACACTGGTTAAGACCTGCAGAAAGAGACCTTCAGAAATGACTGACGTAAATGTTTCAGGGAGTCCAGGTTTTGCCTGTGATTGTGAGCATAGGTTCTGTGGGAATCCTACAAGTTGTAACACACACAGCCAGGTGTCATACCAAGAACTGTACGTGCAGTTGTATCACTAGTCAGCTGCCCCACTCTACCTTTTTACCCCCTTGTGTTGTCAAGTTTCTATTTAGTTTTTACCGTTATTAACTTACCTCTATGAGTCTCATTTCCAAAAGCTATAAATATCTACTTGAGGACAAAGACTATGTTTGCCTTTTTAAATTTCCTACCAGGGTGGTGTTCATCAATGTTGGGTTGATTGGGTAAAGACTTCTCCTATGCTTCTGACATCCAGGGATGCTCCAGGATTTATAGGTAAGCACTAAAGTGTTCTTTATGAAAACAGGGAAAGAACAGTTTCTGGAGTCAACTTCACGTTGCACACACAATGCGTTTTTCTGGGAAAGGGCATGTTTTACCTTAATTTCAAACTGACCTGAAATAAAAACATTTCAACAGCCTGAAATGCTTTATAATAGGACAGTTGTGAAAAGTATTGGGGACACTAGTTCCGGGAGAATTCTTATCTTTATGAATCTACCATAGGAGAATGAGTTCAAAGTGGGAACATAAAAGACACGCACTGAATTCAGATGAACCCTCTAAATGTAGGGAGTGGGCTTCCAATTTTCAGGATGCTTAAGCAGAGGGATCTGTACAGTGACAGAGATACTGTCTACAAACGAGCAGAGGAAAGATTTCTGAACCTAGAGGGCTCAGGACTCAAATTAGAGACTGGCCAAATATGAACTGGCATGAACAATTATGGACTTTTTTGAAGTTTGGAGAGGAGTTGGAAGACTACGTTTGTTCCATCTCAGCTCTTCAAGAGACTCCAGTGACCCTCTAGGTCAGGAAGGCAAATGGGCATGTGAACTACTATTCTCCTTTCTCTACTTCTGCACGCAGTGTTAGCTGCTCAAGGCCTCTTGTCCTTTTGAGCTTAGGCAGAGCCTGAAAACCTTCAAAGCAGTGCCTAGGCTGGGTCTTGCAAGCACACAGAGTCGGCATTCAAGAAAAAAGCTACTTAGCATTTCTGTTCTGGGTAAGGCGGAAGGTATCTCCTGATGAGAAGACTCGAATCTGCATCGTTTGGCACCCCCCAGTACCCCTATACTGAGAAGACAAGAGTGTGAGTAAGGCTGTGCAGTGTGCAGTCAGGTAAGCACTCTGCCCTGGGGGTTATATAATGGATGAGCTGTAACGGATGGGAGAGAAAGTCACAACAAATCACCACCATGGGTCTCTTGCTTGCATTCTTTTCCCCGTTAAAAGGTGGAGGAGGGTAGAAAATAGGAGCCAATAAGCCTTACCTATATTAATTGATAAAATATAGCTAGGATAATAGTCTTTATTTATAGTAAAACTCACTTCTGTATAAAGTCCACGTGGTGAGAAAAAAAAAATTGTCTAGAAGGTAAGAATGGGTTTTATTTAAAATCAGGTGCCTGGAAAATCAAATTTAAAATGTGACCTACTTAAATTACTCTGGGAAAAAAAGGAAAAGAGTCAGATCAGAGAGTTCTCTACATTTCTAAACGCAGCCTTTTTTTCCAACATGTTTGCTCATGTTTGCTGGGAACGTGGTCAAAAAAGGAAAAACATGGTGATGTTCACCGAACAGTAGGGGACTCGATGGGCTTGGCTGATGCCATACAAAAAGGTGAAGGCAGGCTAATTGGAGTGAAAATCTCCAGTACTGTGGTTCCTTTGCCATCCGGAAGAGTGCAGACAGATGCCAGGCGAACGCCCCCTAGTGGTCACTGGGCTGCCTGCATGGAAGGTACCGTCCCTCTGGGGAAACTGACTCAGGCTGACAGAACTCAACCAAGAACATCACAGTATGGCTCAGGTTGTTCCTCACTGCAGAGGCTGTGAAGGGAGGAACTTCCTGTATTACTAACTCTTTTCTATTTTTACTATGGCACAATCTACATTATTTTTTATGACAAGTTATAGAAAAACTGCTGACTCCATATTTTGCCCCGAGGTAGGAGAAAGTAGAAGAGGAAATGGCAACACCATCTGGGTTCAAAACCTAACCCTCTATTTACCAGCTGAGAGATTCTGGCAAGATGACTGAACTGCTTGGATGCTCAAGTTCCCCTTTAAAAAAATGGTCTCTCAATGCTTATGTGGGGATTAAGTGAGATACTACATGCAAGGATTCAAAGCAGGAGCTGACACTTGGTAGGCAATTAATGGCTGCTCCCTTGTGAAATTTCAGACTGAATCCCCAACCTGACTTGAGGGGTTAACTTAAAAAATGCAGCAGGTCTCAACACACGCATACAAACCTCTCACAGCAACAGCAGCAGCACCTGCAGCGGATTGCCAGATAACATTAATAGAAAGAGTTAATCAGTTCCCCTCACCCCTCTCTGGTTGAGGTGTCTCAGCTGATACTGATTGTTCAGGTATCACGTGTGGAATGTTTATGTTCCTGTTTCTTTTTCCAATTCCTAAGGCTTACAGGAGTAGAACATTGTGCATGCAAGCTTCTATTTAAAATTAATTAAAATGTTTGTACAAATTGACTATTCCTGTTTTACTAAATCTAGTAAATGGAAGCTTTAAGTTTCCCACAGAAGAAAAATAAATTATCACTGCCACTAACGACTGTCAAGTTAACAGGCTGATGACAAAAAAGAAGATACAATTTAGATCACCTAAATAGTATAAAGCTCATTTTAATGATCAAGCTGGAACCTGCCCCCTTCCTCTGATTATCTGTAAGGGCTGAGATGAATTATCAGTGTTATTCACTCAGAAACAGGGACAGACTCACCACTCACATTTGATGTTTCAAGAAAAACAAATCCTGTCTACTTGGAGCTTTCAGTAGAGAAAATACCTGGAGAAAACTCAGAGGTTGTTGGAGAGGCTCAGTCATCAAAGCAGAGATAAAATGCCCGAAGCTTGACAAATAATATGCTGGGCTGGACTAGTTGTGAAGATGGAATTTCAAATAACGTATCTTTTATGAGTAATGTGAAAACTGATTTAAAACCCTTTAGAAGAAACTTGAGAACACAATACTCGAACCTCGTACCCAGGTGAATTGTCAAAATTGTAGTAAGGAGTGGCTGCTTTATATCCTATGGAGTCAACAGATCCTGACAAAGAGCCTCGTACGTGTGAGCGGCTGGGTTTGCTGCTAGGAAAAAGTGGTGGGAGAAAGGAGATGCCTCTGTTGCTCTGAAGCAATTTAGGGTGGGACATATGGGTCAGGGATGGCAGGCAAACAGAGTTCAGGGTCCCTAGCGCCCAAACTGTTGCTGCTTCATTTCCTTGCAAGGCTGTGGACTTTGCTTGGTGCTAAGCAAGACAGTGCTTTATTATGAAAAGTGAAGTTGGCGTCTAGCTGTATCCCTGCAATTGGCAATTCATTGGGTGGGCAATAAAGTTTGACCCCTACTGCACACTGTACTCAAAAATAAACTCTGCCCAGCATAAAGATCTATAAGAAGGAAAAAAAAACCCTACACAGGTATCAGAAAAATAATGAAGACTAACTTTATTTTCTTGGGTGAGAGATATGTAAGTATGACATAATTTCTACAAACTATGAAGGAAAAGACTGAATTTGCATAACATTTGAATCTATTTGACAAAGGATACTGTGAAACAAAATTAAGTGATGAGCAACACCAGGAAAAATATTTTTAACAAGTTTACAGAACAAAATTTGCTATCTAAAATATACAAGGAGCTCTTATAAATCAATAAAAAGTGAAAATCTGGGCAAAGGATACATCAGAAATAATATACATTGTCAATAAGAATATGGCAAAATATTCAGTTTTATGAACAACTAAATAAGTGTAGATAAAAATACTCAGGAGAGAGAATTCTTAGTTTCCCAGACGGGAGGAGAAATGAGAAGCTTGCTGATGCTCAGGACCATCATGGCTGAGGGGACCCGGCTCTGCCAAGCC